AACCAGGGAGGATTGTGAGACACTCCAAGGGGATCTGTCGAGGATGGGCAAGTGGACATCAACATGGGAAATGGGGTTCAGTGTGGCCAAGTGCAAGGTGATGCACATTGGGGCCAAAAATCCTAACTATAAATACATGTTGATGGGGTCTGAACTGGCAGAGATTGACCAAGAGAGAGATCTTGGAGTAGTAGTTGATAACTTACTGAAAATGTCAAAACAGTGTGTGACTGCAATAAAAAACTCCAATGCTATGCCAGGGATTCTTAGGAAGGGAATTGATAACAAATCAACCGGTATCATAATGCCCCTGTATAAATCAATTGTGTGACCTCATTTGGAATACTGTGTGCAATTGTGGTCACCACATCTCAGAAAGGATATTATAGCATTGAAAAAAGTGCAGAAAAAGGCAACTAGAATGATCAAAGGGTTGGAACACTTGCCCTATGAAGAAAGGTTAAAACGCTTGGGGATTTTTAGCTTGGAGAAATGATGACTGATGGGTGACATGATAGAGGTTTACAAGATTATGCATGGGACAGAGCAGGTAGAGAAAGAAGTACTTTTCTCCCTTTCTCACAATACAAGAACCCGTGGGCACCCAATGAAATTGCTGAGTCAGGTTAGAACAGATAAAAGGAAGTACTTCTTCACCCAAAGAGTGATTAACACATGGAATTCACTGCCACAGGAGGTAGCGGCTACAAGCGTGGACGGCTTCAAGAGGGAACTGGATAAACATATGGAGCACAGATGTATCAGTGGCTATTAGCCACAAGGTATAGATAGGAACTCTGGGGCAAGTGATGCTCTGTATTCTTGGTGCTTGGGGGGGGCAACAGTGGGAGGGCTTCTAGTGTTGTGGCCCCAATGATGGACCTCCTGATGGCACCTGGTATTTTTGGCCACTGTGTGACACAGAGTATTGGACTGGATGGGCCATTGGCCTGATCCAACATTGGCTTCTCTTATTTTCTTATGTTCTCTCACTGATACTATCCCTTTGAAGTAGATTGCTATTCTTAGGGAACGGCTTCCTTCCATTCTGACACCTTCTCTCTCACACACACAATTTGCCAGATCTCTCCATCTTGGCATCATGGATTCAAGACATGTATCTTGCATCTGCATCCATCCTAGTTAGTTAGATTAGACTCCTATCCTGTCCCTACTCTTTCCTGTTTAGAATGGTGTTTGATAAAGGAACTCATATTAGTTTGCAAACATAAAAGAGGCTCCATGTAACTTTGTTTCTTATCAACACAGAGAGAGAGACTGGAGACCAAACTATACCAAACCAGATAATCTGAGTTTTCTGGTGCTCATTACTACTTGATAGATTACCGCTGTTCTGGTGTGCCCTGGAGTTCTCCTGGAATTACAGTTGATATCTGGACTACAGAAATTGTTTCCCCTGCAGAAAATAGCAGCTTTGGAAGATGGACTCTATGGTACACTGCAGAGTACACTTGTCTTGGCAGTAGTATGTGCGAAAAGGGCTGTATCAACAGAAGTATAATGTCCAGATCACGCAAAGTGATGGTATCATTTTACTCTGCTCTGGTTAGACCTCACCTACAGTATTGTGTTCAGTTTTGGGCACCACAATTTAAGAAGGATATAGACAAGCTAGAACGTGTCCAGAGGAGGGCAACAAAGATGGTGAGGGGTCTAGAGACCAAGTCATATGAGGAAAGGTTGAAGGAGCTGGAGAGGAGACAACTGAGGGGTAATATCATAACCATCTTCAAGTACTTGAATGGCTGTCATCTAGAGGACGGTACTGAGTTGTTTTCTGTTGACCCAGAAGGTTGGACCAGAACCAATGGGTTGAAATTAAATCAGAAGAGTTTTCAGCTAAACATTAGGAAGAACTTCCTGACAGAGTGGTTCCTCAGTGGAACAGGCTTCCTCGGAAGGTGGTGGGCTCTCCTTTTTTGGAGGTTTTCAAACAGAGGCTAGATGGCCATCTGACAGCAATGTTGATTATGTGAATTTAGGCAGATCATGAGAGGGAGGGCAGGAAGGGTTGCCTCAGTTCTTAGTTCTTGTGGCCCTTTCTTACACGCCCAGGGAAATGCTGATTGCCACTTTGGGGTCAGGAAGCAATTTTTCTCCAGGCCAGTTTGGCTGGAGATCCTGGAGGGTTTTTGTCATCTTCTGGGCGTGGAACAGGGGTCACTGGGGGTATTTGTGAATTTCCTGCATCGTGCAGGGGGTTAGACTAGGTGACCCTGGGTTGGACTAGGTGACCCTGGAGGTCCCTTCCAACTCATGATTCTATGATATTATAAGTCCCTCCCCAGGCACCACCACCAAATATCCAGGAATTTCCCAAGCCAGAGTTGACAACTAGTATTTGAAGGAGTCTGCAAGTTCTCTGTATGTACACATATTTGTTAAAGGTTGTTAACCTAATTTATTGTTGTTACCTGCCCTGAGCCCTGCTATGCGGGGGAGGGCAGGTTATAAATCCAATATAAATAAGTAAGCTGATGAGCCATTCTTGTGCCCATCCGGTTAATGTGCAGACAGGCTCCTCTCAGTTCCTTTGGAATGGAGCGACACTCCACTTTAGGTGAAGGTAACAGAACTGTCTTACCTTTTTGTGAAAGAGCTCACACAGTTACCATTGCCTGGCAGTCACTGAGCTTTTAGATCACCTTAGAGCACAAGCCACAGAACACAGCAATTAGCTGCTGGGAACCAGTAGCTTTGTTCTAGGGACTTTTAATTGGCTGAGTGGCACCAAAGAGGGACATCCTAAAGCAGTTATTGTTGTTATATCTGGTTTAAAATCGAACTGTTTTCTGCTCAGTTTTCCAGGGCAGAGGATTCCAGTATACAGACAGACATCACTCTGCATGAACAGACAATAGCAGATGGAAAACAATGGAAGAATTTTTTTTAACAAAACCAGCAATGAAACAAAAACGAAAATATTTAGTCAGCATAGAATTTCTAGATTGCAGACAATGTGTAATGTCTGATATTGAATTATTTTTAAACCAATGACTTGCTTATCTAAATAAGTGTGAGGAAGATAAACAGCATATGTTACTTTATAAAGTGAACAATTCCCTTCCCCCCCCCCCCGGTCTTTGTGCATTTCCTCATATAAAAGGCAAGCAAGGTTGGAGTAGGAGGCTGTCAATTAAACAATTAGAGAACCACGTTTTTCTCCCCACCCCCCCATCAAGTCACAGTTGACTTATGGTGACCAATGTTCCCTCTAAGCTGAGTTAGTGTGAGCTAGCTCACAGTTTTTTAGCTTCCGGCTCACACGTTTTTGCCTTAGCTCAGGAAGGAGGGCTCCAGAGCAAGCTAATTTATGCAGTAGCCAAGTCGCTCGCTCACAACTTGGATGCCAGGAGCTCACAAAGTAGAATTTCTGCTGACAAGACTCCGCACCTTAGAGGGAACGTTGATGGTGACCCCATAAGGTTTTAAAGGAAAGAGATGTTCAGAGGTGATTTGCCGTTGCCTGCCTCTGCATAGTGACCCTGGCATTCCTTGGTGGTCTCCCATCCAAACACTGACCAGGGCCAACCCTCTTTAGCTTCTGAGACCTGATGAAGTAGAGCTAACTTAGGCTACCCAGGTCAGGGCATCACATTTCTTACTCCACAGTATTTTATAAAGGAAGACATGGAAGAAAGTACAGTCTTTTGTTTGTTTATTTTTAGAGGTTCTTTGAGAAGGCAACAAAATTGTTTTGGCCTTGAACATACATAAGGACAACCAATTTGTGAAATATGTAGATTTATGAGACATTTAAAAATAAAATACATCTACTATTAGGAGAAAAATGGTTAGATATTTATATCTTGCTTCTCTACCCAATGGGGACACAAAGTGGCTTCAACATGGTTCTCCCTTCCTTCATTTTATCCTAAGAACCACTACCCTGTAGAGGTAGGTTAGGCTGAGAGAGAGTGACTGGCCCAAGGTCATCCACCAAACTTCCATGGCAGAGTAGATTCACAGCAGGGGTTCCTAGATCCTAGTCTGACACTCTAACCATTAAGCCACACTGCCTTATTTATAGTTGGCATACAGTGATCTGTGTTGGACAGATATTTTCTGCACGGATTCATATTCTGATCACTTTCTCTGTCTCTCTCACTTTTGCTTGGATATATGGATGCCAGCACAGTCTCCAGCAGCACTTAAGCATACCGGTATGTTGCATGGTAAAAGTATAGTATAGCACTATCTCTTCTTATACACACGTGTCCATCTGTTCTCTTTGACAGTTCTTTGGATTATCAACATCTGTTATTTTTGGAGTTAATAAGAATTACATGTAGTCATTCCACAGACCAGTTGAACAGTCAAACAAGACTGCTGATCCTGCTCAGGGCTTTTTTTTTTTTCTTTTTTTTTTTAAAGAGGTGCTGGAACTCTCAAGAGGGAAACGGAGTCTGTATACTGAAAACTCATGAACTTTTAAAACGTTAAAAATAATTTTGTTGAAGAGGCTCTGGAACTCTGTTCCGGCATGTTCCCCCAGAATAAAAGCCCTGATTCCTGCTCCACTACTTTCACCCCAAATCAACATCTCTGTGTAGGGTTGCCAGCCTCCAGGTGGGGCCTGGGGATCTCCCGCTTTTACAACTGATCCCCAGCCGACAGAGATTAGCTCCCCTGGAGAAAATTGATGCATTGAAGGGTGGACTCTAGGGCATTGTATTATGTTGAGGCCTCTCTCCTCCCCAAACCCCGCCCTCTCCTGGCTCCACCCCCAAAGTCTCCAGGTATTTTCCAACCCAGACTTGGCAACCCTATCTCTGTGGAAGGCTTTGCACAACACAGCCACACACACATACAACTGTATTTGTACCCAGTCTTATCCACTTCTTGTCTTGTATAATACACCATAGAAATTAGCTTAAATTCAAATATTGTATCTCAACTGGTTTCTGTATCACAGCCAAAGTTATGTACTTTTGCTCTGAGTGTGTTTTTAGAATCTAACAACTCAGTGTATATCTTACCTTTGCTTAAGGAGCTGCTTATTGTCTTCAATGGTTATGCTATCAGCATGATCTCTCTTGAAAATTTCAAAGGCTTCTTGGCGTCCAAGTGACATTTCTCCTCTTACCCCTGCTCAGGGAATAAATCAGATTGGGATTTAATACCTATTAAATTACTTTCTAGATAAATTCCATAAAACCCAGTTTAATTGCTTTTTTTAGTGCACAGGTAAAATATTCGTATCAAAGAGAGAGAACGAGGAAGCAGAATTCTATGGAACTCCAAAATCTGTCAATTTACAGACACTACTGAACCAATACATATATATATATATTGTTTGAACCTTTCTGATTCAGTTGCTTTTGGAACCAACATGGGGACCATTTTCATGAGCCAGTGTCCACATTCCGTTCAAAATAAAAAGCTTACGAAGAGTGGCATGGTTAAAATGGGAAATTAAATTTTACTTTGTGTCACTTGAACATACTTTAGTTTGAATTCTTTGCATGTTTAATATTTTTGGAACAGTTATGAATGTCTCCTAATTAAAACCAGAGCATTAAAAATCAAAGCAGTGAAAATATTTTCTAAACCATTGGCATTTTCATGCAGAAAATGTGCATAGTTTCCCTCTTGCTTATGTTTTATTTACCATCTTTTGATTTTGCACACTGTAGCCCACAACACTTTAATCAGATGAATAAATATAGGCAGTTACCTCAGGCAGCTCACATCCAAACATTTATTAACAACATTTAACAGGTTAAAGGTTGGGGGGGGTTACCATCAAGTCACAGCTGCCTTATGGTGATCCCGTAGGGTTTTCAAGGGCAAGACACATTCAAAGGTCGTTTGCCATTGCCTGTCTCTGTGTAGTGACCCTGGTATTCCTTGGTGATTTCCCATCCAAATACTAACCAGGGCCAACCCTGTTTAGCTTCCAGGATCTGACAAGATGGGGCGGGCCTGGGCTATCCAGATCAGGGTACTAAATGATTAAATGTTAATAATTTCAAATCAATCTTAAATTTACATTACTTTTTAGCCTGTGTGAAACAGTTGTTAAGACTGTGAGCAAGAAGTGACTCCCCTAGGTCTGTGGGCTGAAACCCAGCTAGTTTGATACTACTAATATCGTCTATATACAAACAGCAAAGTCAACCAAATCTGTATAAATTTAAATCCAGTGACTGGAGCTGTGAACGGGCAAGGCAGACCTTTCCACAAACCTGAAAAGGGCTGCAGATTTGCAGAAAAATCTGAAATCTAAAAAATTAATTGGGGGTTTAAAAAAACCCAAATGACAAAAGCCCTGTGGCTTTAAGAAACAGAAGCCCTCAGGCTCTGCCTCAAAAGGAAGGGGAAGGGTCTTTTCCAGGGTTGTGTTGACCTTTGCATGAGCACTTAAAAGGGCCAGGCCTAACTGGGGTTGCCAGCTCTCGGTTAGGAAATTCCTGGAGATTTTGGGGTGGAGTCTGGGGAGGGAAGGGAACTCAGCAGGATATAATGCCATAGAGTCCACCCTCAAAAGCAGCTATTTTCTTCTCAACAGTAGGCACCCTATGAAAGCCAGTGTGGTGTAGCAATTAGAACTTCAGAGTAATATCGGAGGGATCCATATTTAAACCCCCATCTGGCTGTGGAAGCTCACTGGACTTTGGGCCAGTCACATAGTTTCATCCTCACCTACCTCACAGGATTATTGTGAGGATTAAAAAGGACAGAGAATGAGGCAGGGAAAGCAGAGAGGATATGGGGGTGGCTGGGGGAGAGAAAGAGGAAATAGTGTGGAGAGGGTATACCAGGGAAAGTGATGTGCCACCATACATGTCCTTGAAGATTCCCTACCATGCAAGTGGGTCTGGCCCAATGGCCATCACCACCCAACTGAGCCACAGTTTTCAAGATAGAGGGCTGCTGGGGGGGGGGGTGAGAGGGAAAACTTAAGAGAGGGGCAGATAAAAGTAGGTTGGCTATTGGATGGGAAGAAGATAGGATTGCCAACTCCAGGTTAGGAAATTCCTAGAGAGGGTGGGGTTTGAGGAGGAGAGGGACCTCAGAAGGGTGTAATGTCACAGTTTCTAGAACCTAAAAAGTTAAGTCAAACTGGGTAGAGGGCCAACAATTAAAACAATGTATAAATAATGTTTAAAAATACATGTTGCATTTTTATGTATGTATGTATTTTTATGCATGTATTTTATGTATATGTAAATACATGCATTTGTAAATAATTAAAAAACATACAGAGGGCCAATCACACCTCACGTAAAATATACACAAGGGCCAATGGACTTGGCTTGATGCGTTTCGCCCTGTTAGGGCCTTCTTCAGAGGTCAAACACAATGAGGAACAAATTGGCTTATACCATAATCAGGGGTCATTTCGTAGAAAAAGAGCTAGGGGAACTCATTAGCATAACTCATTAGCATATGCCACAACGGTCCCGGCTGCCACCGCCGGCCTTGCAGCTCCACTGCCGAGCCCCATGAGGGGCCCAGCGGTGGACCTGCAAGGCCGGCGGGAGTGCAAGGAAGCCCCGCGAAGGCCCTCCCTGGCCCCAGGCAGGCAGGGGTGGAGAGAGGCAGGGAGGAAGCAACTTACCCTCCCTCTTCTCCTGCTCCTCCTGGCTGAATAAGGGCCGGAAGCGGGGCGGCTGGAAGCAGGGGGCAGGGCTTCGTCATGTGCCCCGCCCCCCGGTACCTCACCCGGGGGAACTGTGTTCCCCCGCGTTCCCCCCCGAAATGACCTCTGACCATAATACATAATACAATACAATTATACAGCATGAATACAAAATGGAACAGAAAGGCATTGTTCCAGAGTGAAATTACTAGGCATAGAATGAAAGTATAAATGAAGCCTCCCAAGATCCAATCATATGCCAAATGATATTTCACTGATAATAATTTCTGGTCCAGAAGGTGCCTTTCAATAGCTGTTCAATTCAAGCCAAAGTGTCCCTTTAGCAAACAGTAGATTCTACTCTCCATTTCCTCCAGTGGAACTAGGGTTGACAACCTCCTGGTGGGAGCTAGAGATCACCTAGAATTACAACTGCTCTCCAGAAGACAGAGATCAGTTCCCATGGAGAAAATGGCTGCTTTGGAGGGTGGATTTGTCAAGCTCCGTTAGCTGCCCGGGAGTCAGCTTGCCCGTGGCCATGGCATCTGCCCTACCATCGCGGTCGCCAGCCCTGGGAGTTGGAGAGAGTTCGTTAAGGAGGAGGTTGCGGAGGGGCCTCAGATAGGCAGGGGATGGGGTTAAGGTCACCCCGTCCCTTGCCAATGTGCGCAGAACACCTTTGGTCCTGTCTCTCTCTCTTGCTATCTCTTTCTCTCCATCTCATTCCTTCACACTTTCCTCCTCCCTGGCCCCTCCAATTCTCTCTCCTTTTATAACTCCACCCCACTCCCAGTGCTGCCTGTAATCCCCACCCCCTCTATTCCTGGTCTGGCCCCACCCCCTTGATAAGCCTGGACGCCTTCCGGGTGCGGTCATGGGTGTGCTGGCGGCGGTCCAATCGGCCCAGGGGCCGCACCACTGGTGCTGCAGCCTAGGTTCCCCGCCGTGCCTGCCCTCAGCCCTCCCCCAGCGGTATCCGCTTCGCTGCTCCCTGGGGTAGAGCTCTGAGGTGCGCGACCAAGGGGCTGCACTCTGCTGGCGTTGCTGCATCTCCTTGAGTAATCAATGGTCATTTCTCCCGGGGCTTCCTGAGGCAAGGTGCCACGCCACGGTGCCGTCACTGTGGCATCGTCGCTGCCTTGTTCCTCTGCTGGTCCCCGGGTGAGTGGCATGGTCGGGGCGTCTCTGGGGGGTGGGGTCCTCGTCCCTTTGGTCCTCTCTCTCTCTCTTGCTATCTCTTTCTCTCCGTCTCATTCCTTCGCACTTTCCTCCTCCCTGGCCCGTCCGATTCTCTCTCCTTTTATAACTCCGCCCCACTCCCAGTGCTGCCTGTAATCCCCACCCCCTCTGTTCCTGGTCTGGCCTGTCATGAAACTCGGGTCCTCGTCCCGAGGCCGCTGGACCAGGACAGGACTCTATAGCATTATACCCTGCTGAAGTCATTTCCATCCCTAAACCTCACTCTCCCAAGGTGCCACCCCAAATCTCCAGGAATTTTCCAACCTGGAGCTGGCAACCCTACCTGGGGAACTGATCTCCATAGCTGGGAGATCTGTTGCGATCCCAGGAGATCTCCAGGCCCCATGTGGAGGCTGGCAACCCTAAAAGGAGAGAATGAAGCCGGAAAAGGGGAGAGACTATGGGGGCTTTCAGGAAAGGGAAAGAAAAAAATAGTGAAAGGGGGGGATGAGATGCCTCCCACAATTCCTTGTGGGTTCCTGCTATTTCAATAGCATGAAAACATATGATACCAATGTGGGGAAATAACCACATCTGGAATCACCAGATGGCAAAAATCATGTAGCAATGCTTTACCTCTTGAAAAACATACAAACAAACAAAAAACCCAATGAGGCAAAAAGAGATTACTACTCTCATCTGTACAGATTCTAACTGAAAAACAGAATGTTCCCGTTCCATGGTTGAGCCTAGAATAGATGATGAGTTTTATATGAGGAATTTTGGAGCTCTGTCTTCCTGTCATGAAACCAGTCTAATCTGAAACTTCAACTGGCCAACAGATTTTCTTCTCTGCCTATGGTTTTTTTACATAACTTTGGTGTAATGTTGGATCAGGCCAATGGCCTATCCAGTCCAACACTGTCACACAATGGCCCAAAACACCACGTGCAATCAGGAGGTCCACCAGTGGGGCCAGGACACTAGAAGCCCTCCCAGTGCTGCCCCCCCCCAAGCACCAAGAATACAGAGCATCATTTGTCCCAGACCAAGAATTCCTATCTATACCTTGTGTACATTAATTTGGTGTACAAAGAACAGTTACCATTTGAATTTTTTAAAAAGCCTACTACGATGCAACTATCTCATTGGTGTACAAAGCTGTAATTAACCCATATATGATTTTTTACTTCTGCAGGGGTGCTTTAAAACAATTCCTATCGAGTTTGGCACAATATTTTATAATTCATTGTTCCTTCACAACTAGACTACCACTGTGGTGCCACACCACCCAAAATGCAATAGCTGCAAGAACACACACCAA